ATCAGAGCATAAATACGGTTTTGAAAAATATATCGACCCTGGCTCCACCTGCTTTATATATTACAAATAGCAGCAAAATCGGTCTATAATTAAGTTAGATATAGGGCTTTTAATTTTTTTTACGCGGTAGACTTTTCGCTGGAGTCATCACCCCGCACAAACATCAATTCCAATATTTGTCTGCGTTCTCTTTTTAATTATTTTTTCTATTCGTTATTTTTTTCAAATGACTAATATTGTTCTCACCACTTTTTATTTAACGCGTGACACTTCACATAGATTTAAGAGATTTACAATTCTTAGTATAATGTATCGATGATTATAACGTTACCACGTTTCTTCAAATCAATGTCAAATGAATTTCAAATGTTGCATGTAAACAACGTTTTCAATTAAAGAATCATTTGAGATCAAATTGAGAAATACACTTTTCTCAAACGTTTGAAACTGTGTTTGCTGGGTATATTAATTTATTTTCTTTCAAACATTGAACAATTTTTTTTCATGTTCTTTTTCTTCTTGTTTGATGCTTCATGGCTTGAACTCAGTACCTCAAAATATCGGATTATTTTGACTTTGTTGATAAAATGCTTAAACAATTTCATGCTGATCTTCTAAGCTTAAGCTCTTCTATCTCTGAATGATTTTTTTGAATATTTTCAAAAACCATTTTCATTTACATAAGTATAAGCTGTCGATTTTTGGAGGTTTTTTTTTTAAATCGGTGCAGCTCACATAAATCTGAAAGTTTTTCTGAAATATGTTGGCGGAAGTCTTAAAATATAATAAATATTATACAGAAAAGTAGCATCGATTTTTTTTTGTATAAAGCGTGATACACTCTAATGTATGTATTATATTTCTAATAACATTCTTTTTTGAATTTATATAAGTATTATTTAAAAAACAATGTATGTGCATAGAAAAAACTTCATTACAATAGGGAGAAGACGAAATCGTAGTTGAAATTTAGAGTGAATTGGATGATGACTTGATCGAACGGGCTTCAAGAAGCTCCCAATTTTCGAAGTCTTGAAATCTGTTCTGTGGTCTTGTAATCTTATGTGAATTCTGTCACAATTCTTCAAAGATTAAAAACTACTGTGGACTTGACATCCACTCAAATACTCAAAGTGTTGTGCGAATGTATGTATCGCACCTCAAAAGTTCAGTTAGTCTAGACTTAACTTAACAAACGTAAGAAATCGTCAATGGTTACTCAACACGTCAACTTAGACAGACGCGAAAATATTTAGTTTTTGTATTTTCCTTTTTAGCTGATTATCACTTGACCGCCTATAAGGCGGATGAAAAAATTCCTGAACAAAAATATATTGCGTTGGCCAACATATTAGGTTACGTTACGTAAATTAAGTGTATACTAAATTAAGTGTAGAATTTTGGAATAATTCTATATATTATTAAAGGCTTAGAACAATATATAGAATTATTCCAAAATTCCAATTTTGTGGGAAAATGCAATCAAAGTTTGATCTAATCATACAGTTTGTAGTATACCAAAAGCCAGGTGGAAACACACATACCTTCGCCCTATTTGGGGAGTTTAGTCAACTCGTTAGGCCAAAGATATTCTCCCACACGCCCAGACTAGTTATTAAACTTTATACAAATTAAAATTCTTCAATTGATAACCTTTTCAAAGCACTAGGTTTTAATAAACAGTGAAACTAATTTAATGATGTAATAGTTGTTTTAAATTTATTTGGGCTCCTTGGCGAGTATTATTATTATTATTATTATATATGTAGTACTGATATGAATATCAGAACTCATAGTTAATGTGAGCATTGGCTACCGAGGCCATCAGCTCCATGTTGCATGAATGAGTTGTGTTTATAGTTATGTGTGCGTCACGTAGTTTTAGTGGTTAAATAGTTAGATCAATAGTTTTAACAAACCTATTTTCCTATTTTTTCTATGTTTGTGCTGGTGGGAATCACGAGTATTTCCGTAATGTTCTGTGAGTCGAGTATTGTTGGTTTTGCTTCTTCGTATAGAGAGGGCAATCGTTGAGGATGTGTTGCAATGTTTGGTGTGAGCTGCAGTTTTCGTAGAGTGTTTGGTTTTCTTTATTTTTTTTACGAGATATACATACATGTGTTTGTGTCGTGTGCCTAAGACGGAGTCGAGAAAATATCTTGATTTTGAAACCATTTACATTAGTGGGTTTATTGCGGAGGTATAAGATCTTTGTTGCTGGCTGAGTTGTTTGGGTGTTGGTAGCTTTAGAATATTGTTTGTGATTTTTCATTTAGGTGTTGGCGAATGTGTTGTTTTATGTCAGTTTTTTTTATGTTTGAAGCGGTGATGATGGGTGCCTTACATGCAAATTTCCCATTTATTATCTCTAATATTGTTGATGGTTTCCCAGTTGTTACAGTTGGGATTTCTCACCGCTCTTATGGCTGAGAAGCTATTAGGGCATATAATCAAGTTTTCCTTTTTATAGGTACATAGAATGGCGGTTGCTTCTGCAGAAAATATTGAGAAAAGATGAAAAATTTGCTTTATAATTAAATAATATATTCGGTCGTAACAATAAACGCTGTTGAGGAGTTTGTTTTGGAGCCATCTGTGTAAATGATAGTCTATCCGTGCCTTGTGAGGTCGGTTGTTTTTTTGTAGAATGAGTTGTTTAAAGGTGGAATTGGGGATAATGTCCATTTTATACCTATTTAACGATAAGTCGGATGATGACTTTATTAATCTTCCAGGGATGATTGTGATTATCGATTGCATGAAATTTTGGTACAATTTTGTATTAGGTACAGAGTTGTAGCACTCTTGATATTACTGGGGTAGTCCTTATAGCACGCTTGTTTGACACCAGTCTTTTCACATCTTTGTCTATATTGAGTTTGTTTGGAAGAGAATTTTTGGAATCAGTTTAGCTCGAACAGCATGTTTGCGTTCTTCATGTTTTTGTAGGCCAGACTTGTTGGTGAGGTAGTGCGGAAGGCGAAAAGGGCCACTCTGATGATAGCTTTGTGATATGTGCTCTTTATGGTGTTAAGACTAGTTTTTGAAGCTAAGTCGTAAAGAAATAAAACATAATCAATTTGTTTTTATGAGGTGTGTGAGGGTGTTAACGTGCATATATCCTTTAGATGAGAGATATGCAATGAGGTTTACTGTAGGCAGTAGTGCTTTTGTTAGAGTAGAGTATTGGCGATTCCAGTAGTAGTTGTTGGTGAATATTAATCCAATCGTTGTTCTTCGACGTTTTGAATAGTATTGGTTTATAGGGCTATGTTTTGTTTTGTGTGCGTTACATTGGTGTTTTTTGCAGATGTGTAGTTTTTTTGGTTTTGTCGAAGGGCATTTTCGATCCTGATGTTAATGTCCATGTACCTATTTTTTTTATAGGTGTTCTCAATAATCTGATTGGATTTGTTGTTGTTTTTGATATTACATAGGATATTTAAAAATCGTCTGCGTATATGCAGTGCGAGAGATGCGATTATTATTTGAGAGGAGTAAATTGAGTTCGTAATCTACAGGCTTCTGTATAAAACGGAGTTACGAAAGAATATGAGTTTGGGCCTTTCTCTACTAAGGTACAAATATAAAAATGTAACCGTTTTCTTTATTGAAACTTGGCTCAAAAACTTATGAACGGATTTCAACCAAATTTGGACAGTATATTCCTAAGGCCCGTTGCATAGAAATAGGCTCAAGTCGAGATATTCAGAAAATTTATATTTATGGTCCGATTTTGATGAAATTAAAAACATACTGCTGGTATGATGGAAATTACATTTTCGATAAATGGATGCGCTAAATTGGAGTTATTCAAAAAATTCATATTTATGGTCAGAGTCTTTATTTATGGCCCGATTTCGATGAAATTGGAAACGTGTACTTGGGTACTCCTGAGTAGCCTTCCTCCTCCTCTGGCGTTCAAATTTTTATTTTATATTAACTTCCATGGCAGATTTTTCAGATCAGCGTAGAAATTGAATCTGAAATAATTTGCCTCGGGCCCATGAAAGTTATATTTCTGGAAGTCGTAAAGGTTAGCAGTTCCGACACGTGGTCTCATCTGGAATTCTTATTGATTTGTATATGTACATACATGCAAATGTAGACATGTTTGCCGTATCATCATGACACCACCATCAATAGCATCTCACCTACATACGTACATATGTACATACATGTATAATTTAAGCCCATCGCTAGCATGTTTCACCTGAAAGTACAGTCACAATTATGCAAATCGTGTTAGTGTTTAATGTTAATCCTGAGTGGCAAGGACAACATAAGAATGCAGCAGGAAAAGTGCAGCGTTGTTGACCAAATGAGCCACAGCAACAAAAACACGAAATCACCAAAAGCAACAAATTGAATTCTCGGCGAATTTTGTAAAAGATAAATGTGTGTGCGTGTGTTTGTGTTTGTGTGCGTATGTATGTATGTAAGTAATATCGATGAGAAGCACAGTAGCAGCAGAAGCATAGCTTCAGGAGCAGGAACAACAACTACAGCTCCAACAAATAGTTCAAGGTCGATGCGTAAACGCACACACACACACACACACACACACACACACACACACACACAGGCAGATAGATATTCATGTGCATACATCTGCAAAGTATTGCGTTGTAAATTTCCAGAAATTTAGTTGACTTTTGGAAGTTGGTGGACTCGATAGCAGGCCTACATATGTACATATGTATTCAATTTAATTTAACCGGAAATGAATTCGTTTATGTTTTCTTACGTCTTAAATTAGTCAGTATTCGGAGTGTAGAAATTCGAGGCAGTGCTAGTTTTGTGTTTTGCCGCGATATTTGTCTACTTATAGGCGCATTGGCATACTCAGGTGTGTTGTAGTAGCATACTTTTAGGCGCGCACGTTCTTTTCTTTGCACGCTTGTTTTATACAGATTTTCTTGAACTACTTTTTTGTGTTTTATATAATGACTAATTCAAATGTTTTCTTTTGTTTCTTCTTTCACTTTCTCTCCTTCCAGGTGGCGTTAGTACTGGTTGCAGCAACATCTATTTCACAGGCAATGGTGATTTAGTGGCCGGCTCGGCGACTGCTGAAGAGTTGGCACTCAGCGCCGCAGGTGTACAAAGTGTCAATCGTGCACCATCCACATTTTGGCAATATCAAAGTGAGTGCAATTTTCCGAATATCGCTTATTGCTGTTCTTATTTTACGCTATTATAACATATTTCAAACTGCGCTTAATTCTTTAAATAAATAAAATTTTAAATAAAATTCCTCGCTTTTTCTTATGGCTTTAGATGCTCTACCTATCGAATCAGTGATTTCCATGTCTCCAGCCACAGTGGGTTTGCAGTATTCGCGCGATGCAAGTCGCGGTCAAGTGGTGCTTCTGCCGGCTACACCAGCCGCTTTAGGTAGGTTTTTGTTCATAATTTTTTAGTGCATACATATGGATACACATACATATGTATGTTATATATGGCTCAATTCATGTCGTCAAATCGACAAATCCTTTAGAAACGCTCACTTTTGAATTGGATGAATTTTAGTCAGAACGTTTCTTATATTATACAACAAAGTTCTGCCAAAGAAAAAAATGCAAGCTTTTTCGAAATGTTTTTCAAAATTTTACAATTTCCAGGACTTTGCAAATTAATTTTTTGAATATCTCAAAAACTTTTATAGCTACAAAATTTGTTCTGGTCTCCTTTTAAAGGTAATATTTAGGGCTATAATAAAAATACATTTGTAGACATATAAAAAACTCAAAAACTAAAATTTATAGAATTGTGAGTTAAAAAAACTTGTAAAATTTTGGTTAAATTTTTGTATGCAATACCTCCAACTGATTTTAAAAGATCTGGATCTAGGTGTTTTTTGAAGATATCAAGTTTTGAACTTTTTTTTTTTCAAAATCGACTTAAATAAAGTAAAATTAAATTTTTTTATTCATTTTGGGTTTTTTCCACGTTCAAAAATTCATATGTATTAAAAAAATCCTAATAATTTTAGGATCTTTTAAGATCAGTTAGAGCTATTGTATAAAACCAATTTAGCCAAAAATTTATATACTACAGTGTACCACTAAAGTCTTAGTACAGCACTTTGCTTAAACTTCGCTGCCAAAAAGCAGCAGAAGTTGAACATTTCAAAGATACCGGCACTACTATATCTAATAGTTTTTGAGATATTCAGAAAATAAACTTTTCGGGAAATTGTAAAATTTTGAACATTCGACTTTTGTTGTCCTGTGGCAGGACTTCGTTGTATGAGAAAAGAATACTTTTGACCAAAATTTAGCCAAATCAAAAATGTTCGATTCCAAACATTGGTCGATTTGACATGGATCATAGTCTCATATCTACATATATTTCAGTCATTGCCTACATATCGCGCTCGATCTTCAAAAGTACACAACTCAATATTACACAATTTCTTAGCACATGTTAAACATATGGGCAAGGGAGACTTTACCTTAAGTTTTTTCAACAAATTATAACAAAAATTTGCTCCAGCTTGTGCTTAAAGGTAAATAAAAACTCTGTGTGCATCTTTAGTGCATTATTTCAAAAATACCAAATTTTGGGTTGTGTCGCTTTTGAAGATCGTGCGCGTATATATGTAGATCGTTTGTCTATATTTAGTAGAATGCTTTATTCCATATTCATTCACTATTTCACTACCATTTAATATTCATACACAAAAACATGCATACTAGACCTCTGCATGAGTCGATTCTAATTTCAAGCCAAAGAGAGTACAGTAGAATTGTGTATTCTATTTCAAGTTCAAAACACCCAGCGTTTTGAATTTTGTATTTTATGAATATTCATTGCGTTTCAAGTTTTCTAACTTCATATAGAATTATATAAATGAATGAATGAAAAACCTTAAATTTATTCAGACTCAAATTTATTACAATTTATGTGATATTTTGTGTTTAGCATCGAAAACGAAAAAAAGAATGGAAAGTGTAGAGGAAAATGTAAGTACGTTTAGCTTAAAATGATGTACGTATGTATGTATAGTGAATCTACATTTCGGTCCATTTAATAATGATAATGGTATATGTTTATAATAACAGAACTCCGCAAGCGCATTATTGCAAAGTGCCGGCATCAAGAAGAAAAGTGGAGAAAACACACTGAGTCAAAAAAGAGGTCGTAGCAAAGTTTGGGAGATATTTTCCAATGTTAAAAATAACTCTGGCGAAGAGTTGCCCGATATTGTAGCATGTAAAAGATGCTACAGCATTTACAAATTTACGGGGTGCACGTCAAATATTGTAAGACATAAATGCTATATTATAAATACCCATACTGTGGATCAGGAGATTCAAAGTTATTCAAACCTAAATGTTACGTTCACTGCTGACTTCGACTGCCTTAAATGGTGGTATCTGAACAAAAATTTTTTTCCAATTTTATACAAAACGAGCTGCAAAATTTTCTGTATACCCGCAAGTAGCGCGGCTTCTGAAAGAGCCTTTTCAGATGCAAGAAATTTAATAACCGAAAAACGTTGTACTATTGCTCTTAACCCAGACAATGTAAATAAAATAATGCTTCAGCATTCAAATATTGAAATATAAATATACTACTTGAAACCAATTCTATTCTTATCTAATGACTCTCTTTTATGGCGCATACAAGTACAAAATATGTATAAGAAAAGTTCAATAAATACAAGGAAATGTAGGTATTTAGATTTATAAAAATAAAAAAAATTCCATCATATTCACTCAATTTGTTTTCACATCGTTTAAATATTGTAATGTCGACAATCATATCAGCAAAGCTATTCATTTAAATTCAATAAAATTCAAATCCAATCACATTCATTTAATTTCAATATGAATGATTCATTTGCCGTTTAGAATGGATTCATGCAGCCCTCTAATGCATACACACATACATGAATACACACACACAAACATACACACTTGTATCTAATTTTCAGTTATAATTTTATATGTATTTAGCTGTTTCATTATTAATGCTTTGCTTTGCTTAGCGCAAACAGGAAGCTTCTTTGTTGAAAACTTTGGTGCTGCAATTTGCATTTGTAGTTAGAAATTATAGCTGCCAATTATAACATCCATTTTATCAAATATCCCAAAACATACACTTCGCGACACTTGATAACCCTCACTTAAATTTTCTTAATAAGTATTTTCCATTGCAGATGGTTTTCTAAAAAAGTGTGTATGCGGTGAGGCAGCAATTACCCGTAAACATTTTTTTTTAGTGCCAGTATTAAAAAAAAATCAGTCTGGTATTTTTTTGCTACTTGATTACTCTCTCTTGTTTTATATTAACAAGTGTTAACTATTTATTTTCATATTATTTAATTTCAATTATTTTCTCATAAAAATCTAGCTCATTCTATAACAAATACCATACATTAAAATTATAAATATTCAACCGATTTTCGTAAATCGCGAAATAGTTTTGGAAAACATCCGGAACGTCCAAATTAGGTACGAGCGTACTCCGAACGCGCGTGTCAGCGGCGTTACAGCAAAGTGCTTACTTTTGCTATGATAAGGCAGTGTTTTCTTATTCGTACAATAGTCCGGACTCTAACCGAAACTCCTGCACTTTCAAAAAGTTGTTGATCACCCACGTGTCGCGGCCAATTTTACGTTGTAAGTGCACGGTTGGAAAGATTACATTCTTTTTTGGGGTACCAGTAGTTGCCATTTACGCTTATAAGAAATTTATTCATGGATGCCGTAAAAAAATAAAAAAATATTGTGAAAATTCGAGTGAGGGTAATCAAGTGTCGTGAAGTGTAAGCGAGTTGTGATCCAAAAATAGAGAAAAACGGCTTTGTTTTGTACGAATAAAAGTATTAAAAAAAGACAAATATCGTGTAAGTATGTATCCAGCCGCGTAGCTTTTTCGCAAATATAAAATATTTGGGTGTTAAATTTAATTAATTTAATTTAAAAAATATAAATTTCAACATATAATTTTTAAGAAATTTACGAATACCGTTAATTTCTTCATGAAAGAAATTGTTTTTTTAAGTGTCATTGAAAATAAGTTTTTTCTAAAAATACCTTTTATAAAAATGTTTTTTTTTTTTTGTTTATTCTATCTATTGTTTTTCTACTAAAATATTTTTTTGACAAAACTTTTTTTTTAAATTACTTATTTTAGAATTACTTTTTTTTTGAAATGCTGTTTTTTAAAGTATTTTTTTGTTAAATACATACATACTTAAAATAAATCTGTATCTGTTTATATTGCGACCTTTTTGATTTTAATCAAATAATCCTTTTTAATGCCGGCTTGAGGTCAGGTTGGTAATGGAATTAAAACAGTTAGTTTCTAAACTGCACGACAAAGGAGACGCAAGTCGTGGAGCTAAAATTTAATTAATGTATCTCCGAAGATACATACAATATATTGGGAAATAATGTATTTGCATGTTTTTTAATTCGATTAACACCCTGACCCCAAGCCGGCATAAAAAAGGATTATTTGGTCATACATACTTTTTTTAAATCTTTTTTTTTTAAATACTTTTTTTGAAAATATTTTTTCTTAAAATATTGTTTTTTATTAAATTTAAATTTTTGAAAATACTTTTTTTAAAAAAACTTTTTTTAAAAATACCTTTTTTAAAAACACTTTTTTTGAAATACTTTTTTTGAAAATACTTTGTTTCGAAAACACGTTTCTTTGAAAACACCTTTTTTAAAAATACTTTTTTGAAAATTATTTTAATTTCGGAAATATTTTTTTTTTTTATATAAAAAAGTGATGTCACTAAAATATTAGGCCACATAAATAAAAAATAAGCAATTGCTTTTTCTCAAAATTTCAGTCCTTTAACTCAAATTTGTTTGAATAAATCGAGTAAAAGGTCTGAAATTTTAAGAAAAAGCATTTGCTTATTTTTTATTCATAACGCCCGTTATTTTGCAGTATAAGCAAATTTTTATTTATTAAAAATTGTAATTACCTTTGCAATTTTTCAGTTGTCACTTTGAATAAGGTGTTAGCTTTATGCAAAAACGCACTTCCACAAAAGAAAAAAAAATCGGGAACGATTTTGTACAGTGATACGACGATATATTGCTTATGTTTGTTTCGCTACTTATCTATATTATTCTACCTTTACTACTTATTTATAACTATGCGTATTAATTTTACTGCTTTGCTATGTCTCATTTTCACAAAAAGAAAAGAGTACTTATCAAGACAAGAAAATAATAAACAACAGAACCTGCAATTTTCACATTCACTAATTCGCTTTGGTACCCTCTTTTTCCATCCCATCTCCCACCACCACCAAACCACCACCACCTGACCGCTACAATTGATATGAAATTTGAAAAAAATAAAAATTATCAAAATTGTTGTTGCCTCGTCTGAATTTATAAAAAAAAACTCATCGCGCCTCAAATTCAAAAAACCCACATAGGCATATCAAATTTTCCAATCTATACACCCACAGATCCGTTCCAACAGGCGGCGGCTTTCGTCTGGCCATCATACATACCGCAGGGTACAACGTCGGCCGCAGCAGCCGCGGCAGCCACTCTACAGCCGCCGCCCAATTTCATATTCCCCTCGATGAGCCCCCACTCGACGCTACAGCCGCAGTCGTACGCCACATCGCTTCAGCTCTTCGGCTCGAATTACTTAACCGCGGCCGCAGCAGCAGCCGCCGCAGCCGCTGCCACTTCTACACTTTGCCAACACAATCAACAGCAAACTACCAGCACACAGCAAACCACAAGTTCAATCAATTTGAGTTTGGCGGCGAGTGCGGGGTCTGTACCCCCGGGTGGTAGTGGTGGCAGTGGGGCGAGCAGCATGAGCCACAATCCACACAGCAGCAGCAGCACAAGTGGCCGCTTTTTAAGTTTGGCAACAGCTGGTGGACCCGCCGCCACCATGTTCGATGCGCCAAAACCACCAAAAACACTACAGCCTACGTTGACGCTACCACAACCCGTGCCACCACCGTCCACAGCTACGTTCCCGCCGCCGCCGCCCTCACTCATCCTACCACCTGCCGGAATGAAAATCGAAGAGTGGAGTGCTACAGATTTTATGGCGGCTGCGGCGGCGGCAGCAGCATCATCATCAGTTAAGACAGCTCACACACAAATGGGCGCAGCACCGCCAACTGCATCTCAGCCGATCGCATTGAACTTCGAAAGTCGCGACAAGATGACTACAACGTCATCGAGCACAACGAACTTGTTGGACTTGCAGAATGCAGCGGCTGCTGCTAATACACAGGCATTGAATTTGATGCGGCTACCTACGCCGCCCACCTCGGCGACAATGGAGAATGCGGCTGCAGCTGCTGGCGGGCCACAACTGCAGCCACAGATACTATTTCATGCCAGTTCGACGCCCTCGCCGGCTTTGCTTAATCTCTCGGCGTCAATGCCGCGTGGTGCGGCTGGCAGTGTCGGCGCCGGTACTACAACCGTCACTCCGACAGGTATTTTCATAAGCGGGGGTGGTGGGTGTGGCGGTGGCACAGCAACGCCAGTCACACTTTCGGCGACTATCGGGCCTCCAACGCCGCTAGGGGATGAACCGACCGCCATTAATTTCAAAACCAGTCCAGTGGAAGCGCCGCCGCAACAATCGGTCGGCGGTATTGTGGTCGGCGTGCCGCGTGTGATCAGCAATAACGGGCAAGCAATGCAGGCGGGGCCGCCGCCACAAATGCAGGATGTGAATATACAGACGGATACCCCGGTGTGTAGTGATGACGAGAACTCAACATGCCCACTTGCCCTTCAACAGCAGCAGCAGCAGCTACAACAACATCTTCAGCAACAATTACATGCAACACAGTCAGGGGCGGCACAGTCACCGAACTATATGAACGATGGCGAAGTGCAGCAGCCTTTGGAATTGACCAAACAAAGTTATCATAGCGGCGTCACCAATTGCTCCGAAGGTGCTGGATATACGACGAATACAGCGCCAACATATATCGCCACAAAAACAACAACAGATGCAAATCAACTTGAGTGCCATAATGAAGTAAACGCTACGCCGAATAGAGAGGCTGAGTACCAAGAGGCATCCGCGCATCAACAGTCGCAATCGCAGCCCCTGCCGCCGCCGCCAACTCGGCCGCCAACGGCATGCTCAATGGGCGAAGCCGCAGCAATGCATCCAGTGTCGGAATCGCTGCAATCCAGCGAGCATTACCAGTACCACCAGCAACAGCAGCAGCTGAATCAACAGCAGCAATCTGGCGCAGAGGATCTAACCGGTCTCGAACTACTCTCCAACATCAGCACAAGCACGTTGGCGGGTAAGGGTATCGGCGTTGGCGTCGGCATGGCCATGGTGCGCGTTAAGCAGGAGCCACTCGATCATATGGATGCACCAGTCTCATCAATGGGTGCTGATATGGCATCGCAACCGGCGCTGACCACTCATTTGATGCCACAGGAAACCGTTCTGAAATCACAGGCTGCCTCGGCTAGCTGTGACTCCTGTGTGCCCAGAGAGCCTGAAATGCTGCAGCGGCAACCAACACCGCTGCCTTTGTTGCCGGCAGTGGCCACGCCTGCACAGCTGCCACTTGCGCCAACGCCCGGTGTGGAACCACTTGGTGGGTTGAACTTGCTTTGCGCACTTGCCGAGCAGCGTATTCAAGAGGAAGTGCAGATCAGCAGGAGTCATTTGTTTGCCGACAACAAAACTCCGCCGACGCCGCCGCCACGTTCAACATCGTCCTTTGGTTTTCAAACGCCACAGCCCCAAAGCCAGACGCATCTGCAGCAACAGTCACCGCCGCCATATCGTCTGGAGCAATCTTCCTTCCCCTCAATGGAAGGCATTGAGCTGCCTTCGACGAGTGGGCTGGGCCTCGGCATAGGCAACGGCGGCGACCCACCAGTAAAGCGCAAGAAGCATAAACATTCCAAATCATCAAAGTCCTCTTCGTCATCCACACTGGGCGGCATCGGGGGTGTGGTTAGCAAGAAGTCGCAGCGTTGCTCGAAAAAGAGCAAGAAAAAATATTCCAAGGAGAAGCGAAAACACAAGCAGCAACAGCAACAATTGCTGGCCTCTGCTGCTGCTGCAGCTGCCGCCTCTGCCTCTGCTTCCGCCGATGATGTGGACTTCGAGGACGAACAATTGCAGCAGGAGCTCAAGAGTGCCTTCAATCGTGTGGATCCCAACTTCCAGTTGCGTTTCGGGCAATGGGCCAATGCGCAGGAGATATTTGAGCTGATGGAGAGCGATATGCGCATGCGTTTGGCCGATATAACGCGGCAATATCGCAAGAAGAAGCGAAAGCTCGACGAGATGTCCAAGAATAAAAAGAAAAAGAAATGCGCGAAATTGCTAGCCGCACAGCAACTGCAACAACAACAACAACAACAACAGCAGCAGCAATCAACACTCTCACTGGCTTCGCTCAGCGCAACCGGCAGCGGTGGCAGCCTCGCCTGCAGCACCACTGGCAGCTCTATGCCACTCTGTGATTACAAGTTTCCGAAATTCACCACCAACAGCGGTGTGGGTGCTACATCTACGCCCTACTTAAATCGTTCCACTTTCTTGCGCTTCGGCGAGAAGGCGCCGTCCGCAACGCCAGCACCACCGCACGCACAATTTCCGCCCGCTGAATGTGACAACTCGGAAGACAACAATACGCTTTCGTCTAACACCACCACCAGCGGTCCTTCCATGGCCGTTTACAAGCCGGTGCGTTTAGGTCCGAGCGCGTTGGCGGGTGCCGTTGCAGCCGCATCAGTAGGTGTCGAAATGCGCAATGGTGTCACACCCCTTAGACATGGGCAAAAACATAGTGCGTCCGATAAGAGTTCGAGCTCGGCAATTGTATGCAAAGAACCGAAACTAATGGCAGTCGCGGCGACTTCGTCTTCAACTTCGCTCACCTCTAGCCGTCGCTCGAATGAGACGCTCTCTTCTTCGGCTGATGAGCAGCAACCGCCTAGCGCATCATCACCTCTGCTCGCACACAAATTGGCAACTCAGCAGCAGATTTCCAAGCACGCAACGCAACAGCGACAAGAGCAGCAGCAGCAGCAGTGCGCGGTGGCGCTGCCGCAACAACAATCAAAGCAGCAACAACAGCAGCAGCAACAGACAAGAAAGCCCACAGACCCGCGCGATTATCAGCTAATGCTGACCAGCGAACATTTGTATCGCAAGGAGACGCGTGTGCTAACCGACATGGGCGGACTATTCTATGCGGGCGTGATGAAACCGCTGCAGCCGCCTGATGTTTACGCAATCACCTTGGATGGTGAGCGTGGGAATAAGTCGCATATCATGTCGCGCGAGGAGATTTTCAAGGACACTGTGAGTAGTAGAATTTATATATGTATGTAGACATTTTGAAGTGAAACTTTTTTAATGGCGTAAGGGAATTAAAAAAAAAAAGTCACGAAAATATGTGACACTTGCAATGCAACGGAAGTTCTCTCGAAGCGTGTGACACGCTGTGTGGTTTAAGGTTAAAATAAGAACTAGAAGTAAGACTGAGCGTGAGATTGAGTACTAGACCAAGATTAAGATTAAACCATAGTTAAGATGAATACCAAGATTAAGATTAAGACCAATATTATGTCATTATGAGTAAGATTATGATTATGATTATTATTGTGATTATGATTATGATTCTGATTATGATTAGGATTATGATTGGGATGGTGATTATGATTATGATTCGGATTTTGATTCTGATTAGGATTATGATTGTGATTGTGAATGTGATTATGATTATGATTTTTCAAATTGCCTTTAAGACTAAGGCTGAGTTTAGGATTATGAATATGATTATGATTACGATTAAGACCAAGACCAATATGAGGACGAATATAAGGGTTAAGATTGATATTAAGGTTAAGGTTATGCTAAGACTAGGCTTAAGGTTCGGATTTGGATTGAGTATAAGATTAAGATGAAATTAAGAATACTATTAGGGTTATGATTAAGATTAAGACTAATATTAAGATTTAAATTAAAATTAGTATTGGAATTCACATTAAGATTAAGGTTCGCTACTACTCTCTAGTTCAATGCATGCAATTTCAAACCAACAAAGTCATAAACAGTACGTAAAATACGAATTTCTGACGCATGAAGCGAACAAGAAAATGATCGAGAGAAGTTTCACTTCCGTTATGTGCCCCTGGCGCCTTCCTTTTTATTCTGTTACTGCAGGCGAATTTATTTCGCTCCCCTTCATATACATATGTATATATTTTTGCACATTCCATTTACTAATTTCCATATTTTTCGAAATTTCAGATTCTGGAGGTGGCGCCCAAATCCGTGGACTGTATACCAATTGGCACGCGTCTCTGCGCCTATTGGAGTCAGCAATATCGTTGCCTATATCCGGGACGTGCCATCGAATCAGAATCGTCCGACGATGGCGAAACTCCCAATGATTCAGTTAGCGTAGAATTCGATGATGGCGACAGTGGGCGTATACGTCTACAGAATATACGCTTTCTACTAAGCGACTATCCCATTGTGGGTGAGTGTGTGTGTGTGTGTGTGTGTGTGAATGCCACGACCTTTGATTATTTACATATGTATATTCATCTCTTTTGCGCCCATTCATTTCAGTCTCATTTAAAAAAGGATCGGAAATTTTGGCTCAAAGCTTATTAGATGATGAAAAGATTTCTTCGCTTCCGAAAAGTATGTGCTCTGCTTATATACCCGTACATACATACATACAAATTTTGAATTCCATTTCGTTGTTGTATTTTTTTTTTGTTTTGGATTTTGGATTGCCCTTTAAAATTGTAACCACAAATTTCCGATCAATTTCAAATTCATTCGTCTCATTTTCATCTATGATTTTCGATTAATCGATCGTCTATTCTGTATTTCGTGCGTTTTAATTTGTATCCCTACTTTTTCCGTTCTCTTTTCTTTTTGAACGTACGTCCCAACTCCTCTAGAGTACAACGATAATCCCCTCTACTCTTTAGGCAAGCACAAAAAGTCTGGTGCAACGCACGCGCGCGGCAACGCTAATGGCTCCGGCAGTAGCCACAATTCCAATGATGCTCATGAACACACTTCCATATTTGCAGTCTCTGATCTGCCTGTGGCGACAACGACAGCAACAGCGGCAGCGGCAGCGGCAGCGGCAGGGGCGTTGGCAGTGGCTTGTGCACCATCTACGTGCGGCAGTGAATCGCAAACGCAGAGTGCTAAAGAAATTAGCGCGCAGCGTAAAGAGAAAAAGCGTATCAAAAATTTGAAGAAAAAATCCCAAGCAGCTGCAGCGTTGGCCGCCAGCACAAATGGCTGCGTAAATGGCAGTTTGTCAGCGTCTGCGTCCGCATTGGCGCCGGCAAATGGCAGCGGGCTAGCGGTCGTGGCGGCCGTTATGAATGGCACAAATGGTGTGGATGATGCCGCGGTGGCCGCTGACTGCAATCGCAAGCACCACAAGCACAAAAAACGCAAGAAGCACAAGAAACATCATCATCGCAAGACGAATGGTGGCGAGTATGAAGCGATCAATGGCAGCAACAACACATTCGTGATCAAGAATGCCGGTGTGGCGCCAAGCGGCAGCTTTCTGACATCAACACCGACGACTTCTTACAAAGGTAAGCGTGAATTTGCAGCGGCTGTTGCTGATAATCACAGCAATAATGCGCAAATGGCAGGAGATGAAAATGAAGTCGTCGCTGAGGAGCAGGATGATGACGATGAGGCGCAAGAGGAGGAGAATGAGAATGAGCAGGTTCAGGTTGCACAAACGCCAGTTGCTGGCGCCTTCCAAGCGGTTGCCGGTCATAGCAAGTCGCAAACGCAAAGCGGATCGTCTGCTGCGATTAAGGTAGAGACGACTGCGGCGTCGACATCGGCAGCAACAAATGCTAAAGTCAAAACAGAGCATTTGGATTTAGAGGAGGAAAGCACCTCTAATATGATGTCCGAATTATCGGATGAGGTAATTTGAAATGTATTTTCCTTCGGCGTATCGATATTATACCTTTTACTGTTTTCCTTTGCTAGAATAAATGCGATGATGATGAGGTGGAACACAATAATTCAAAGGGTAGCAAGATTGCTGCTTTTTTGCCGGAACGGCAGCTCTGGGGTTGGCAGGGAAAAGCGTATCGCAAGGCTGGTGTTAAGGGCAGAGCCCGCAAGCAATTCTACAAAACAATCAAAAGGGGCAAAGAAACAATAACTGTAAGTGGAGTTAGAATAGGAAAAATGGCTGCGTGTATTTACACATATATGCATGTACATACATACATACATACATACAGTTTGCCACAAAATAATGGAGTGTGATATCTGGTAAAAATATTGACTATTTTGCTTTTGTTTGTTTAATGTTTATAAATTTTTTATTATAAAAGTATAGCTCATTAAAACGATAAATGCCACTTTTCTGAAACATTCTAATAAATGGTACTTACGAGTACATACAAAAAAGTAGCATTTACATACATATGCAAATAAATATCGTGTAAGAGCCCGGTAATCCAACAAAAACCGTGTAAATCCAATTTTGAAACTGTATGCACAAATTATAAAAATTAAAAAAATGTTCAGCAAAATTTCAAACTTTTTAGAAAAGTTATAGGTATGCAGTTTAAAACCCAATAAATTTTATCACAAGAAAGTGCAAGTTTCCAGTGGCTACAAAATAACATTGACTTTTAGTTTTTTTTTCCTTTTTGTTGACGGTGCCACGTATTTTCTTCCATACAAAGAATTCTCGACATTTTTGCGCAAAGTTCGAAATTTGGATATATCTGGTTTTTGTTTTATAATGAGCTACAGTTTTATAAAAATTTAATAAACATTAAACAAACAGAAGAAAAATAGTGTAAACTCGTCAAAATATCGCACTCCTAGTTTTTTTTTGTGGATTACTATGTATATGTACATATTTTGAGATCCTTACTTAAAATATTTATTCAACACCATTCCAGGTGGGGGATTGTGCAGTATTTTTATCGACTGGCAGACCAGATAGGCCATATATTGGACGTATTGAATCCATGTGGGAGACAACGTCTAGCAATAAAGTCGTGCGCGTTAGATGGTTCTATCATCCTGAAGAGACAACAGGTTGTCCAAATCTAAAATATCCGGTAAGTTATAAACAAAATGAGAAAAAAAAAACATATGTGTTTACAGTGAAACCTCGAATTTTGATAAAACGAAAAGCTCAATATAAGAAAATGTTTGCTGAATCCCATGAAAAAATCATCGTAGTTACGAAATTTTCCATAAAAAATGGTCCATGGATATAACGAAGCGATTTTGAGCATGAAAACCTTCGGAATATCTATCCCAGTAGATAACTCAGGAGCTAAAAACCCTTCCAGAAGGCCTTGCTGAGAATCAATAGGCCTTGCACTCTGCATTACTTTCCCCTTTCTATTCTGTATAGAGTGGCACGCATAGAAAGACTCCCAGAAAGGTTTTTGTCGGACATACTTCAGAAGGCCTTTTGGAAGAGTTCTTCTAAAGCTACTTTTTTAATTCATAAAGATCATATTTAATGTATTTATTTAAAGTTCAGATTGCATAAGCAAATATAAGTGTATAGGAAAATTTTCGTGTTAACAAAATATTGAAATATTTTTGCCTTTTTATCTCAAATACTTACACTTACAATAATTTTCTCCCCTTTATAATAGGGCGCCTTATTTGAATCACCGCACGAGGACGAAAACGATGTCCAGACAATATCGCATCGCTGTGAAGTACTTCCGTTTGAGCGTTATTTTGGCAAATTCGGAGCTGATTCAAAGCAATATCAATCGATATATGATAATAATGATACTTACTACTTGGCCGGCTACTACAATCCGCGAATACAGGTGCTCAATATACAAGACGAGATACCTACGCTAAAAGCTGAACAGCAAATGCAGCAGCAGTTGCAGCAACAGCTGCTGGCTAAAGTACAGCAACAGCAAAACGGTGTTTGCTTGGAAAATGTAAGTGCGGATGTTGAATAACTAAAAAAAATAAAGAGAAGCAGTAAGAAGAGGCCGAAGGAAGCAGATTTAAATAGTAATTAATTGTAAGTTAAAAGTGTAGTAAATATATGTAAGTATGTAAAAATACATAGATACACATAATATGTATCATTAATGCATATGTAGACTTTCAAAAACAAAATCACAATGACAAAGCAACTACATATACTAATATATAGTACTGCTGTAGCGTTATTGTAAATGTGTGTAATGCCGTGAGTGACAGTGTCCGTGAGTACGGACAGACAGACGATGGACGTGTGCGCTGCAAGCGTCCCTTAACTACTATATAAACCGGCTACGTTGTGCTGTATGTTTATACTATTTGTATATGTGTAAGGATAACTGTGAAACGATTTAGTTTTAGAGGAGAGAGAGTTAAAACGGAGCTAATTGCAAAACAAAATGATACAAAAAAGAGAATCACTATATATTACTATATTAAATATATTATACTACATACAAACATTATATATGAAAATATATATACATATATTATATACTAATGGGTAAAAGAAAGAAAGAAAGAAAGAGCGCAGAAAGAATAGCAAGCTTAAATTCGAAAAGCAAACATTTATGAGATGAAAAAAATAATTTTAATTTTAAATTTAATTAATAAAAAAGTAAATATATTATATATATATATACTATATACATGCATATACACTTAAACGTACACATATTATACATACATACATAATTATAAAGCGTGAGGATATACGGACATTCAAACACATCGACGATTACAAAATTCGGAGAGGAAATGATTAATAAAAAAAAAAACGCAAATACAAAAAAATATTGCTACACTAACAAAATGGGTATTTTTTCGGACAGTAATACTACAGATATACACACTTATACATATATTTACTATATTTCAGATGAAATTTAAAACTCAAATTCAGAAAAAAAAACTTTAAAATAAAAAAGAACTAACTAAAACTCCAGCAACTAAAGTAAAGAAGCAAGCAAACAAAAGATGCATACGTACATAAACACATATATGTATGTATAAAAAAAAACCTGTGAATAGCAAGTAGCAATAGTGCAGAGGCAGAGGGGTGGAGATGCTCGTACTTGATGGGTGAACAGTTGGGGAAAAATGCAGTGTGTCGCAGAAGCCCTTAACAGGAAACTATTTAGAAAGAAATACTATAATTGTAACAATTTATTGTGATAGTCGATCGAGGATAATTGATGATCAAGATAATGAAGACGATGATGATGATTTTGATGATAATTGCTAACAATGATTTTTGATGATGATTATGACTCTATGGAAAGAATGCGTTGTATATTTACATCTCGTTTATTCAGATTTAAAGTTTAAAATACATACATATAAGCAAAAAGCAAAGAAAATAAAAGCATACAAAAACAAAAAACTGTACACACAAATGAAGAATCTTCAACTAAAATCAACAAAAATCGCAAAAATAAAGAATCAAATAAAAATAATAAATAAACGAAGCAATAAATGGTGTTTTGGTTTCTACATTTGTACATACATACATACATTCACATACTCATACCTTTCATTTGCTGCGTTATCCGCAGTTTGAACTTCTATGTATTTATTTATCCAGTACCAACTCCGATATACCTAAAGTATAACAAAATAATATGTGCGTTTATACTAACCAGAGGTCTGCATTGAGTATTAATGAAATTGGTACATTTAAGTCCAACTAAACAAGAAAATACCAGGCACCGTAACGGTTAATAAAAATCATAGTTAAAATTGGATTTCTATTTTTTCGATCATATTCGGCCTTATCGCAAATTCCATGTAAACAAATATATGAAATTATGGAAACGATTTATTCACATAGAATGCCATTATTTTCTTGGATCATAAAAGACTTAAATCGGTCATAAAACGCAGTCTCCAGCATAACGATTAAGAGTAATCGAAAAAAGTATAAATCCAAAATAAAGATTACAGGGGATCACAAACTTTAATTTGGTTTTTGTTCTCCAGACGCCACTATCCAATTTGTATGTAGAATCGCCCACTGATACCAAAAATCGAGTTAATTTTGTATTCCATTTATACGTTTTCGAGATATTTTGAATTTACCATTATTCAGCTTAAAACAAAAGGTGGTTCCATTTAGTCACTTATATCTCATGAACCACTTTAACAAACTGAAAATGAATACCACAAATGAAAGCTTACAAACTTTTCCATAAACTGTCTATACGTCACTTTCCGATAGGAATGATAGTTTCTGACAAATTAATTAACCATTCCCGTTTTTTTTCGATGGATAAATAAAGAAGTAAGTAAGTAGTCAAATGAAAATGCGCAAAGATTTTTTCTATGAGAAATGAGCAGGAAATAATGTTACTCATACGCCATGTCCACCTAAGTAGCACGCTTTTTTCTTTGATATTTAACGATTATTTTCATTACCTGGAATATACTCAAGTATTCCTACACGTATGTGCCGGCAATTCATGACAATCGATTGTAGGCTACCAATTTCATTATACTAATTTGTTCGTATGGAAAAATTTTAATGCGTTGATCACTTTTTGTGTTATGCTTTGTGCCATAGAGTAGAACTCCACACCAAACCTTTTAGGTGCTATGACTTTCAGCGCTCTCGCCGATATATAAAAAAACTTATGGCTGAATAAAGCGCTGAGTGCCTGAAAAGCGATGGACGCCAGAAAAAACCTTTTGCCGAGTTCTATTCTAATTGCTTTTGCATTCTGACGCGCTCTTATCGTTTCGCTCTCGTTTGTATTCATATATTTATGTATGTGTTGTTGCTACATTCTTAAATTCGAATATAAAGCTAAACTAAGCAAATGACTCACATCACTCAAGTCATTCCACTGCACTATTGACGTTTCTTGGTTCTGTGAGTCATTTCGGTATAACAAATTTATTTATTGGCTTCGTTCTTAGACCGTGTAATAAAACTTTTTTTTACTGGGTGTATGCTGGGTGTGCGTGCCGAGAAATTTCATAGACTCAGCTCAACGAAGTGTAACCAATACGACTACGATATTCTACAATTCGTTTCTAAATTTGTATGGGTGGGTTAGGTGAGAAAAAAAAACTACCGCCTTTTCAAATAAAACCGAATTACATATGTATAAAATTTCTGTGCACAGAAGAGAGGTGCCAATGAAAGTAGAATATACCAAATTTCCGCAAACTATGTAAATATGTATGTTTGCTATTTTTGACACAAGCTTATAAAGTTACGTTCCACTGTGCTTCGTTGCCATGTAGCCAATTGACAGCCGAATAGGCAGCCACCTGCGCATCGATCCAACAACATACATAATTGGTTGTTGAGCTATGAACAATTATTAGGCGTGCTGAAAGAAAGTTGAAAAACTTATTGTAGACTGTTGAATTTGTAAAAATTATCAAAATATATATAATATCTTAATCTTGCGTACATTGTGCCTTACTGCGCCAATTCGATGAGCTCTACACCGAAGTGGTATTGTCGCAACAAATCAACGCCACCCTTGCAAACATTTACGGAGATTACAAAATTGGGCAAGGAGTTGAGGCGTGTCACATATCGTATTGCCGTTGATGTGAAGGTTGATGTCTTCGATGAACATGTGAGTATATACATACATACATATGTTTATATCTATAAGGATTCGCAATAGAATATTAAAGAAATAGTTCAAATAAAGTGTATAAAGGACTTTCCAAATAAGTATCCTCCCATCAGAGAGTCAAGGCTATGCGAAACTCGCTAATTCAGGCACGAGATGATCAACGGCCATAGAGGGCAATGCGATAACAAATGAATTGTCGTAGGCTGGCGGCTGTTTGGAGGAATCCGAGGCTGTTGCACTGGTATGCCCTCTCGAAATCATAATAATAATAGACAATCACCCTCATTGCGAGAGTCATGTCCAATGCTAGTTGTTTTTCGAGAGTCGAATCGTATCGAAAATTTCACGTCATACTTTTCGACGATTTTCGTCGTTTACTTATTTCGGCACGACAATAGACAATGCCAAGGTTGTCGAGTCGTACAATTTAGCCTAATTTACGACTTGCGCAATGAAGCTGAACCATGACCCTTCCACTGCATTTCCTTTGCTGCGGTACTTTCAGACGTGTTGGGAGGTCAATATCCGGTGCGTTCTCTGTCTTTTCATTAGATGACTTTTTGTCGCGGATTCCGAACCCAGCACAGAACCTATTGCTGGAAAGGAAATGAGACATTTTACCAGCAGACTATGACTTGGATTTTCTTGGCCCACGACGTCAGAAAATAAAAGCAAACTCCGCCCACTGCGGAAAGCACCAAGCTTGGTCCTCTCCGTTGTTGTTGTTGTAGTTAGCGGCTACTTATCGCTTTGAATTTCGTTGGTATTTATAGTGTTGTTGTTGTTGTTGCTGTTGTTGCCGTCGTTGTTATTGTAACAGCATATAAATTCCCCGAAGAGTTTTTGGAGAACGTTGCTGGAGTGACAGTCCTTGCGCAAATATAAATCTGGGTCTTTCCGGTTACGTAGACCCGACTGTCGTGGGAACGGTCTTTATAGTGTCGTGTCTAGTGATTGACGTACGAAATTCTGGATCCTGTACTCCAGTTCTTAGCGATGCCTTCCGATGTGTCTTAAGTGGAGGTTTCGCCTCCAACAAGTGCGTCTTCGGATACTTACATCTGTAGCAACCGACAAGGAACTGCATGATATTAAGCTCTTTTACTGTGAAGGTTATGTTCTGACGGCATTAGAAGACATTCCGTAGCTGTCCGGAATGATGTATTGTAGAAAATTTAAAGCTTCGTCCACTACGTCGTACTTGTCCCTGGTGCATATTTCAGAAAATTGTTTCGGCCATCTAACCTTGTTTAGACCGGTGAAACCTTTCAATCGTTACCCATCTTCGTCCCCACTAAAGGTAGGAGATATACAATTTTACCGAACGGGCGGAACCGCCGATAATCAGACAGGTGACACTGAAATTTCTTCCGCTTACATGAGACCCCAGTTTTCTTAATTAATTTAAAGGTATGAGGGGACTTATAGCCACTGCACAGACTTCGGTTAGATTATATTGGAGCCATTTGCAACATTTGGGCGAGCAGACGAAGCGGATCGGCGGATATACACTTTGGCTGCAGAGGATGAACGACTACTATATATATATGTATTTTTTTTTTCATTATTTAATGTTTCGTAGCGTGGTTTGAATGAGGTACATAGTCACTTACTTATAGTGGTCGCATTAAATTGCTCAATAAATTTGTCATTTAGATACTCATTGCCACGACTCGGAAACTCTTGGCACTCAATAGAAATAAATTTGTCTCGACCCACTTCAGAACTATAAATTTATTAGTTACGATTTCTCATCGAATTTTTAAATCTTAGAATACCCTTTTGGAAGAAGTGGAACGTGTTTGTGAACTCTATTGGAACCTGAAAGACGAGTCACAAAACAAGGATATTCACTCATTGAATAAGAAAATCAAGCGCAGTCCCTACAATGCCTTACTACTGCAGAAATACAATATGCTTGCGGAGATCAATGATCGACGCTTTTGTCAGCTAATGTTTGTGTTGAAGCAAACGGTAAGATTTGAAGTAGTAAAAGCGAAAACTTAAATAATTACCTACCATTGTAGGTAACACAATTGCTACGCAAGTCCACGCAATCGGATATGTGGCTAAGTTGGGCATTGCAAATATCGTGTCTATACAATAAGTGGTGCCGCCGCGATAGGCTCAAAGATGCCGACAACATAGATGGCGTATGCAAGGAGGTCGATGGCGCGCCGAGTCAAGCTGGTGAGAAGAAAGGTCCACAAACAGGTGAAGATGGCGGCGCAGGTGAAGCCAATGCTGCTGAGTGCAATGCCAACATTTGCAGCAATATGTATCCCGCATTGTTGTTGCCGCCAAAAACAATCGATTTCGCATACGTTTTGCAGGTTTGTAAATTGTTGCAGGGAGCTGAGTTAGGTCATAGATTTGATTTCCCGACTACAGCACGCTTCACAAATGCGCATCGAACAAAACTCGCTTGATCTGCTTTTTGGGCTCTTCAATATGAGCGAACAGGAGCAAGCTGAGGCAGCAGCTGCAGCTGCTGGCACTTCCTCCGGCGCTATGTTGGCTGCTGTTCCAGCACCAAATGCCTCGGATCTGACTGCCACCGCGGGCACAACTGCTGGTGAAAATTGTGAATCGACTGCCTCTAGCTTGGAAATTTTACGCATACTTACGCTCAACATGCACGGCGACAATGAGTTCCACAGCTACAACAATGGCGACGATGTGGGCTGGGGTGGCGGCATGGAGAAAAGTAATTGCCGTAAATATGTTGAGCATTTTTTGCAGCGCGAACGC